GTGCAGCCAGCAGCAACAGCCTGGTTGATCAGGCTCTGATCCACCAGGAGGCCTGGGCACAGACCGGGCCGCGGGGGCGTTGACCCCCGGAACTCTCTCCAGGTAAACTCCAGGTAATCCAATGTAGACGCCTAAACAATGTAGACGCCTAGAACACCAATGTAGACACCTAGAACACCAATGTAGACACCTAGAACACCAATGTAGACACCTAGAACACCAATGTAGACAGAACACCAGTGCACACACCTAGAACACCAATATAAACACACCAAGCAATGTTACCCAAGCAATAAGGTTTGTAACCCGTGTACAAATCTCACTCAAATCCAGCCCTTCACCCATGTAGTATTTGTGTTATTCCGCATCTTGTCAGTATCACCATACCATTTTTCAGTTGCTAAATTCTGGGTCAGTTAGACCTGAGACCCGGGCCCACCGTCTTTCGGGGTATCTAGTTTCCCTAATATTTTTTGCCACCACCTCGGTTGTCTGCAGTATGTCCAGCACTGGCTGGTGCACCACATACTGCAGTTTTTATTTACGTATTTTAGGGAAAAAATGAACTCTAAAGATTCTTCTGTACCTGGCAGGTAGACACCTCTATACCTGACGGGTATCTACCTCTATACCTGACGGGTATCTACCTCTATACCTGACGGGTATCTACCTCTATACCTGACGGGTATCTACCTCTATACTGAGGGTATCTACCTCTATACCTGACGGGTATCTACCTCTATACCTGACGGGTATCTACCTCTCTACCTGACGGGTATCTACCTCTCTACCTGACGGGTATCTACCTTTCTACCTGACGGGTATCTACCTCTCTACCTGACGGGTATCTACCTCTCTACCTGACGGGTATCTACCTCTACCTGATGGCTATCTACCTCTCTACCTGACGGCTATCTACCTCTCTACCTGACGGCTATCTACCTGACGGGTATCTACCCCTCTACCTGACGGGTATCTACCTCTCTACCTGACGGCTATCTACCCCTCTACCTGACGGCTATCTACCCCTCTACCTGACGGGTATCTACCCATCAAAGTCCACAACTTTAAATTTAACAATCCCTATAATACAAGTAACTCTTAACTATTTCCTAAACCAATTTAAATTTCTTAATATCACAGAAAAAAACACAAAACGTTTAAGTATAAACCTTAAGGCTCGGTTATTATGTCGCGAGTTAGTTTTTTCAAGGTTAAACAACTCGTCTGTTCGGAATTTTGTAGCCCCGGGGGGGGGGGGACACTGACGTCCACTAAACAGTTTTACAGAAAAAACTGGTTAAAAAATTTTAGATTAATTTTTTTATTGGTTGAGATCTGGTTTATTCACGTTGTACTCTAGGTGAGTATACACTGCATCCACTGTACTCTGTTGTATCGGAGTACGATACAGATCTGACTTGATCAAGTCCACTGTGTGGGCGAAACGTTGTGTAGTTTAAGAAATAGGTTAGAGAAATACACGAGTGGGTGTGGGTGGGTGTGAGTTGGACCTGACTAGCTTGTGCTACTAGGTCAGATGCCATGCTCCTTGGGTGAATATGACCTGACCTGACTAGGTTGGGGGCATTGGCTTAAGCTGCCTCGCATGGGCCAGTGGGCCTGCTGCAGTGTTTCTTATATGCTTAATAAAGGATCACATTTGTTTGTTCCATCGTGTGGGTATTTTGTATCCTTTATCTCCCTCTCTTCTTGAGATGTATTGTTAGCCTCTGGCTGTGTGAGCCAGCTGTACCCCAACAGCAACAGGCTGTTAGGTAAGACACATATGCAACAGTTAGACAACTTTATTCCGAAACGTTTCGCCTACACAGTAGGCTTCTTCAGTCGAATACAGAAAGTAGGCAGGAACAGTAGAGATGTGAAGACGATGTAATCAGTCCATCACCCTTAAAGTCGTAGAATTTGAGGTTGTCAGTCCCTCGGCCTAGAGAAGTTCAGTTCCATAGTCAGGAACTATCTGACTATGGAACTATCTGACTATGGAACTGAACTTCTCCAGGCCGAGGGACTGACAACCTCAAATTCTACGACTTCAAGGGTGATGGACTGATTACATCGTCTTCACATCTCTACTGTTCCTGCCTACTTTCTGTATTCGACTGAAGAAGCCTACTGTGTAGGCGAAACGTTCCGGAATAAAGTTGTCTAACTGTTGCATATGTGTCTTACCTAACAACCTGTCGGTATTGTATACCATTTTGATGTTCAGCAACAGGCTGGTTGAACAAGTAGTCAAAACTGCCCCCAGGCCGGTATGAGAGAGAGAGAAACCCTCGAAATCAGTCACATGTTTAATTTCTAATTCATAAGAAAGGAGGAACACTGCAGTAAGCCTACTGGCCCATACTAGGTAGGTCCTTCTCAAACCCAAAATAAGAGCATAAGACAGCTCCACTTTTCAACCAACCTGAACAACCTGATACAACTTGCACAAACCATAGCTAACATCACTGATATACTATATAGAAAGCCCCTTGGTATGTAGAGCATTTCGGGCAACTTAGGTTAATCTTGTTCTCCCCAGGATGCGACCCACACCAGTCAGCTAACACCCAGGTCCCTACTTACTGCTAGATGAACATGGACAGCAGGAATCTGAAGGAAGCACGTCCCATGTTCCCACCCTTACCGGGGATCGAACCACGAACACTGTGTATTTTGAGTGCGCTACCAACCGAGCTACGGGACACTTAATTAAAAAAAAAAATTCTCACTTGGCGACCAAAAGTCTGGAGAAAGTCTAGTCTGGTGACTTGATCTCCAGACTTGCTGAAGTCTGTGGAAAAAGATACCTAGACAGACTTACCCTCACTCCAACTTCCTCATCTCCATGTATTCGTTAAAATCTTCTATACAGGTCATGTGTCATTAGAGATTCCGTTCAGTGTTGCTCCACCTGTCACAGGTGGGGCACCACACTACATTGTTGCTCCACCTGTCACAGGTGGGGCACCACACTACATTGTTGCTCCACCTGTCACAGGTGGGGCACCACACTACATTGTTGCTCCACCTGTCACAGGTGGGGCACCACACTACATTGTTGCTCCACCTGTCACAGGTGGGGCACCACACTACATTGTTGCTCCACCTGTCACAGGTGGGGCACCACACTACAGTGTTGCTCCACCTGTCACAGGTGGGGCACCACACTACATTGTTGCTCCATTACGGATTGCGAAAAAGATTTAGGAGTTCTGGTTAGCAGTAATCTGAAACCAAGACAACAGTGCATAAGTGTTCGCAATAAAGCTAATAGAATCCTTGGCTTCATATCAAGAAGCATAAATAATAGGAGTCCTCAGGTTGTTCTTCAACTCTATACATCCTTGGTTAGGCCTCATTTAGATTATGCTGCACAGTTTTGGTCACCGTATTACAGAATGGATATAAATTCTCTGGAAAATGTACAAAGGAGGATGACAAAGATGATCCCATGTATCAGAAACCTTCCCTATGAGGATAGACTAAGGGCCCTGAAACTGCACTCTCTAGAAAGACGTAGAATTAGGGGGGATATGATTGAGGTTTATAAGTGGAAGACAGGAATAAATAAAGGGGATGTAAATAGTGTGCTGATAATATCTAGCCTAGACAGGACTCGCAGCAATGGTTTTAAGTTGGAAAAATTCAGATTCAGGAGGGATATAGGAAAGTACTGGTTTGGTAATAGAGTTGTGGATGAGTGGAACAAACTCCCAAGTACCGTTATAGAGGCCAGAACGTTGTGTAGCTTTAAAAATAGGTTGGATAAATACATGAGTAGATGTGGGTGGGTGTGAGTTAGACCTGATAGCTTGTGCTAACGGGTCGGTTGCCGTGTTCCTCCCTTGAGTCAATGTGACCTGACCTGACTAGGTTGGGTGCATTGGCTTAAGCCGGTAGGGACTTGGACCTGCCTCGCATGGGCCAGTAGGCCTTCTGCAGTGTTCCTTCGTTCTTATGTTCTTATGTTCTTATGTTCTTCTTCTTATGTTCACCTGTCACAGGTGGGGCACCACACTACAGTGTTGCTCCACCTGTCACAGGCGGGACACTATAGTGCGGTAGGTTTACGGTAGCAGCAGTGACTGCTACCTAAGCCATTCTTCACTCTTCTCTGGTTGAAGCAGTGCTCACACACCTGGAGAAGCTCTGGTTGAAGCAGTGCTCACACCCTGGAGAAGCTCTGGTTGAAGCAGTGCTCACACCCCTGGAGAAGCTCTGGTTGAAGCAGTGCTCACACACCTGGAGAAGCTCTGGTTGAAGCAGTGCTCACACACCTGGGGAAGCTCTGGTTGAAGCAGTGCTCACACCCCTGGAGAAGCTCTGGTTGAAGCAGTGCTCACACCCCTGGGGAAGCTCTGGTTGAAGCAGTGCTCACACACCTGGAGAAGCTCTGGTTTCAGTGTGAGGAATGTCATTCCCTCGTTAGTGTACCTGACCTTGTATCTAATCTCCAATCATTATCGAATTCTTGAGGCAGCTTTAAAAATCAGACAAATGAGCGAGAATGGTTGAGTGTGAGTATAACCTGCCTAACATGGAGCAGTAGGCCTGCTGGTGGTGTGAGTATAACCTGCCTAGCATGGAGCAACATTCACTACATATAAAAAAAAAAACATTGAATTTTGAAATACTGGCAACAATACTGCCTAAACCAAATACAAAATTTCTTTTAATGCAGTTTGTAGCCGATCTGCATAAGCATTCTCGAGTTAGTAAAAGCTAACCACGGAACAGGTGGGGGTTTGACGTACGACTCTCTCGCCACTGATTCAACCACTGCCCGTTCTGTGGTTTGGTTTTCCTCTTAAGTCTTCGTAATTTGAGAGGAGCCTATTATTGTATTTCAGAGAGTTAAACCCGTGCGAGTCGTTCAACGCATGGAGTGGTCAAGGCTTGATCCTCCTTCCACTAATATCTGTCCAGTGTAACTTTCTGGTAATGGTCAGTAATTAAGGAGGTTGACTGATTGGGCGCCCCTTGTGTTGCAG